TCTAGCACTGCCTGCTGGCTGGCAGACAGTAACTCGTACCAGCTATTCGGAAACGGGCATCAGCAAAAGCATGAAATAGCGCTGGCTTTCAGGGTGGAAAAGCAAGTGAAACCTTCCCTGGGCAGACACGCAGGCCTGGCTGTCCTTCTCCAGTGCAGGAAGGGGAAATGCTCTTCCAAGGGTCCCCTCCCAGGCCCCCACACTGCCATGCTGCAGCACGGTCCAACCGGGCCGTGTTTATTCATGCTGTTGCAGAAAGGCGTAGCTGCAGACCGAGCCGCAGCGGTGCCACTCGAGACACGTACCAAGGAACGGCGCTAACCTGGGTTTTGATTCGCACTGTGCTCCCTGAAAACACACTATATCATGACAACTTGTTATGTTATGAAAACATAAGAAACAGGATAGAATGAATATACTTTAAATAATAGCTTATTTAGAGTATTTTCCATAACATTTGCTTTTTTTTTTTTTTTTTTTTTTTGTTAGATCACACTTAATATGATTCCACAACATCGATGCTGTGGATGAAATTGAAAGCTGTATTCTTCTAAATGTGCTCCTAACATTCCATTTTTTACAGAGCTGCCAGGGGCTATTCTGCATTCCCACAACTGCTATGAATGTAACATATTGTTTTGCAATAAAAATTAGCTATAAAAGTGTGAAAAATGCCAGAGATCCAAATGTGAGAAACAAGAGAAGGGAGTATGGCTTTCGCACCCTTTTAGTGGACATTTTATTTATTTTTCAAATGGAGTAGACATATTTATAGCTACTGTATTTCAATTATCTCTAATTTCACACATTTTATGCAAATTCTAGACATTTTAATTGCAAATGAGAAGGGAACTTATTTTTAAAAGTGGAGCAACACAACATTTCAGATCTCAATTTTAATTCCAAATTTATCTACATCGCTGTTAAAAACTTTTAAAACCTCATTTACACTGTGACTTGAAATTAGGTGCAACTTAAAACAAAAACAAAAACAAAAGACTTCCATACCAATAAGTTATACCGCCAAAACCTTTTTAACGCATTCTTAAATCTTTCATTTTTAAATCAAAATTTTTAGGTAGGAAAGTTTAGGAAGTTGAAATGACATTATTAATCGGTGACACATTATTTCAACAAGAGTCAGTAATTTAATAGTATTGTCCATAACTGATGAAAATTAATACATTACCCACCCTGTCTTCTCTTCCTGTCTCCATGACTTCAGTAACCAAGGGCATGGGTTATTAGCTCAATCTCTGCTTATCTGTCACTCAATGGGAAATTCTTTCAAGAGGATAAACCACAACTCAGCCTTTGGCTGGATAAAAATTCCCACTATATATTAAAAGCATTTGTGACAAATGTTGCTCTTTTCCAAGTAGTATTCCCAGTAGCTTACACTTAGAGAACATTAATAAGCATATGGCTTTCAATGCTAAAGAAAATGTTTGTGACAAATTCAAAACCAGTTGAACCTATGCTTCTGTGCTTGTTTTAAGCAAGCACAATTTTCTAATGGATCCTAGGGCTCCAAATCAAACTAAGAATCTGGGGATGTGATTCATGATGCTGGGTTCGAGCAGACCACATACGCCGCCTGCGAGCCACTCGGTACCTGTGCAGACCCCTGCACCCTCTCACCCGACTGCTTTGGCCCCAGCCAACCAGCAAGACCTGGCTTGTAGTAAATATTGCATCAAATCTTGCCAGCAAAAATCCATTGTCTAGAAACACTAGTCCCAAACAATAAAATATAGAGTGAAAATGAGCTCTCTTTAAGCAGAAGTACTGGCTTTGGTACTATGCTTTGCCCTCAAGCAGTTACCCCATTCCCATCTTTTACTACACACATACTTACGTCGATGTACACACACGCAATCACAGGTTTAAAATCACACATGTGCCTATGGAGCTCTCTAAGCTGAGAATCTAGTGCTTGACTTCTCACTATCCAATGAAATAGACCTTTAAAAGTTTCAACTATTTACTGAAATGCATAAAATAATTTTATTATAAATTGAAATTTACTGCCTGAAATGTGTGGAGTTTTTCTCTGCTTTCTTTCTATTTGGTAATTTATTTAAATACATTCAAAAATGCATTCAAAAAATGAGACATAGCACTTTGGTTAAGACATCTGTATTTCAAACCAACATCTTCAGAACTGTGAGCAGCTCTGTTAATAGTCTTTTTATTTGATTAGGGTAATCTGCTGCTGTGGTGCCTTAATCTTTATCCACTGCCTTTTAACCAATCAATATTTTAGGGTTATAGATTTGGAAGGTAGATGATAATTTTGTAGATAAACTCTCTAGGCACTGCTGACATGGTATGGTTGCGTATTTAATATTTTTTCAGAGGATTCACAGCTCCAGCAAAGTAAGAATCTGCCCAGAAAAAAAAAAAAAAAAGCAGCAACTTAACTTTTCAAAGCTGTGTGCAGGGATTTGGCCACCTGTCTCCTATTAATGTCAATGAAAATTTAGAGGTAAGAAAAGCAATGTCTTTTCCCTCAGATCATTTCTTCTTTGAAAGGAACCAGAGAACAAGAGAAAGGAAATGAAAAGCAACTTCGTACCGCAGGCCGACACCAGCAAGGCCTGCTGTTGAGACAGGAAGTATACAGAAGTAGAACATTTGTTCACTAAATGAGTGAGCATCTCCACACGTATCAAAATAGCGAGGTATGAAAAGTTCAGAAGGAAAAAAATTAGATTTTGTGTTTTTAAAATGTCATTAAAATATATATTTTTTAATTTTGCTTACTAAAATTATCTGTGGCTTACGATATTAATTTTACTGCAGATAAAATTAGTTGTCAGACCTCTGTTTATGGCCTAATTACCTTCTGTAAGGAAAAAAAAACAAGGGCAGGAGAAATAAAAGGAATAACAATAAAATCCCATTATCTACCTTCCAGCAAGGGGGGTTCTTGGAGGTATGTTACCTGTGTGGATTTCACTAGTGCTGTGCATGCATTTCACATACACAAATCAGATGTGCTTGTGCTGTTTTGCCAATCTGGGCAGTGCCAGCTTCTGCCTGCCCGCATTTCCATGCCTGGGGATAGGCAGGACAGGCCGAACCACCCTCCATTACTTCTAGAAAACTGGCAACCTTGAAATTATTCAAGCCCTTTATAATAAGGAAGCAACTCAGGAAAACTGGAGACAATGTCTTGAAAAAAAAGCCACTGTAAATAACTGTACTTTCTTCATGAAATGTTTGTCCACTTAGGTTGCAGTTTTGGAAATGGTGAATCATTTTTTTATTGGTTAGAAGCAGGTGCTAAACATGCCACTGAAAAGCTGCAAGACTTGTAAACAAACGGACAGAGCCTAGTGTTACACTGCTACAGGTGTTAGAAACCAGCACATTTTGGTCTCGTTTCAGTCCTCTCTATTCATATTGCCTGATCCTTCAGCAAGGAGCAAGTACCACAAACACTGAGCATACTTCTTAATAGCTTTTCCCATTACATTAATCTGAAAATTTAAATCAATTCATACAGCATTCATGTTAATCAAGTTGCAGCCATAATGCCATCTGAATTATAGCTCTACCCAGCAGAGTTTTGGAGCAGTGCATGTAGAAGATGAGTGAATCTGGCCTCAGACAGAAGTTGTCCTTTAAAGTGTTCTGTGCAGCGTTGACATGAGATCTGCCCAGATATGCTTTTGAATATATTTGACGAACAAAAAATTTATATCTGTGTTCATTTCACAAGATGTAAACGTCTCTTTCGTGGTAGGAAAAATCCTGCTTCCTGGAAGTGATTCTAATCTAATCTGACACGCGGTATTTGTAAACGTGCTTTAGTGTCCCAACCTATTTACAGTGTTTACATAAAAACCCCCGAAATCTCCACATTCCTTGAAAAGTTAATCCAGTACAAATATTGACTGGCTGTCAATTGAGCATTATTGACTTGCTCCGGGACTGTGCTTTATTGCCTTAACTGATGAAACTTGTTTTCTTTGCTAAACTTAATTTCTTTTTGGCCCTATTTGGATGAAATACCATTTGCTAGACTGCACCTCTTCCACTCACTGCTATAGGGCTGCCTCTTCTGGTTAGCTAGAGTGGTAGGACAGCCGAAGGACTCTGATGTGTGCAACAGGAGATTGCAGAAGAAAGCCAACAACCCAGGCTGTGTATTTTACACAGGACCAGGGCCAACATGAGTCCTGAGTCCTACAAACATTGGGTCCACACCAGCTCCAATACAGTGGTTGCCCTATCTGCAACCACATGTGGTTGTACAGAGCAGTGTTTCCAGGACAGCTGGAAGGGTCTCTGAACCCTTCAACAGGGTCTGTGAAAAGCAAACCGATTACCAAGAGCTTAAACTCCCACTGTGGCAGTCTACACCTTCACTGGGAGGTGAGGTTTTTTTAAGGAATTCTAAAAGCCAAAAATCTTGGCTGTATTTGCATCTTTTTATCAGGAATAGTACAAACCAGGTTGTCCAGAAACCAAAGTTCATGAAAAACAGACACTCATCATATTTTAAACACCCAAGAAAACATTACTTATCATTTCATTTTTTAAAATCTATAGTTTCTAGATACAGTGAAACGGAAACCAAAAATAGCAACTTTCACAACATTCCCTGATTCTGCAACAAATTCCATCAAACGTTTTAAATTCTGACCCCCAGGTCAAGTGAAACTGACAATAAATCTTAGGAAGGATTCGATATCGTTAAGCTGCAAAACCCAAAATCTATTATGAAAGGTTTATCAGAACTTATAAAAAATGAAGCCAAAATGTTTCAGTCGGTGCAAGGAAGGACAAAAGGGTAGAATGGCAGACAGGGAAGAAAGTATAGATCGTGAATGGCCATAGCAAGTTATAAAGCAGATATTTTTCTCTGATCTCTAAATAACATTTAGGAAGGAATTTCGTGAAAATTCCAGTTAAGAAAGACATAGGATTTGTTTTTTTTGGGTTTTTTTTTTTTTTTTTTTGTAAAGGAATATAACACAGCAGACACTTACACTTTGCAGAAGCACTATCTGCTTCTCCACACGGGGATGCTTTCTGCACCATGTAGAACTCCAGGGCAGTATTTGGTGCCGAGACAGGATGGTGCCACCATCTGTTCCTTCTTCTGTTCCCATCAACAGTCTGGTGAGAGAGGGGCAAAGAGAAAAAAACATGGGGATATGTCATATTGCTACATCTTCATTTAATATTCTTTATAACTTTTTATGTCTAGCTCAGGTGATGAGACAGTTCAATTCTTTTAATCAAACATACTCAGATTACCCTTTTGGGAACTGAAAAAATTCATGACAGTTTTGCTCTCAGATTGCCAACCACACAGAAAGTTTATTCTTGCCTCATTCCTTTTTTTTTGTTTGTTTGTTTTACCCCTTACAAGTCACTTTTTCTAGAAGACTTCATTTCCTTTTAAATGAAAGGCTTCTTCTAAATATTCGACAAATGAAAGAATCTATCCTATAACACCAGATATGTCAAGAATGCACCTGCCCTCTATTAAGGTACTTTGGATAACTTGAATAAGGTTGAATGTTAATATTTTCATTAGTTTACTGGTTAGTAAGTTTTAGTGGTTGGGTTGGTTGTTGTTTACTAAAAAGAAAACCAGGTCTTATCACAATTTTTTTTATTTTTTTAATAAAAAAAGGGCTGATTTGTGATAAGTTTGGTTTTTTTTTTTTTTTTTTTCCTTTAACAAAACATGTGTTATCATTCAAATCCTGTCAAATGAATTCAAGGTGTCTAGAGCAGTTTAGCTAACAGGCTCCACCAGCATTACAGTAGAACCACCATATGTCCCAGTCTGAAGTGACTGTCTCCTCTGCTTTTCCTTCAGCAGACCCTGCACTGCTCACTCCCATCCTCGCTGACTGTGCGAGGAATGAGAAAAAGCTCTGTGTCAGACAGCAAGAGAGCAAAACACCTCTGCCTCCCCAAAAGAACTGCTGGAGAAGACCAACTGATTCAACAGTGGCTATCTTCTGCTGAATGTCAGTAGGAGTAACCATTTTCCTGTAAAATGTCATTTGGATATTAGAGGTGGGATGGGAAAATCAGTATCTTAACAGGCCTCTTCATTTCCCAACAGGTTTAGCCATAGAAAATTAAATTCTTGATTTATCCAATAGGTCTGATATTATCCTCATCCCTGTAAGTATGCTACTGCATGAAAAGTCATTGTGCATCTGCAATTTAAGTAGCTGATGTAACACCTGCAGTCATACCTTCAGCTACACAAAGTCTGCTGCTCTGAAGCAGCAGTTCTACCAAATTCTCCCATCCTGTCCTGGCCACTGGGGTTTCCTCTCGCAGGTACTTCTGCACGAAACTTGCTCTGTTGCTCTTCCTCCCTCAGACACGCTCAATCAGAACATGAAACACACCATGATTTTTTTTTCTTTTTCACCTACTGTAACTGACATTAAAACCATTTTCTGGTGGAATACATATAGCTGCTTTCTGCAGGTTTCCAAAAAAGGGTTGAGAGTAGACTGTAGCTGTTGGGTCCATTTACACCTCCTGCTCCACATTAACACAGCTTACTTCAGGCACAAAAGGAGGAGCCACTTGTGCTCTGAGACATGGCATCCACATCCACGAGTGCAAACACAAACCCAGAGTGCTCTGCAACCTTCACTGGGGCTGAATGGTGCCCTCAAGAAAAAAGCAGCACCCCAGAGGTGTGCACACACAAATCTGTGTGTATATGTACACCTACGTGTGAGAGACACAGCCAGGGGCACCACGGCAGCCATGGGAGGGGGATGTGCAGCACAACAAGCCTGGCTAACACTGGGTTTTTAAGGTGATACATAATCAATTAACATACAGATGGCATATCAGTTTACATCTCACACTGAGAGTTCGTGCTTGGTTATAACAGAAAAGGGAGAAACAAATTGTAACAGAGTCCGAAAGCCCCTGAAAAGTAAGGCTATGGGGACCCCAGATGTACTTTAACCAACCACAATCACACCATCAGCATGAGGTGTAAGAAGTGCCAAAACAAGATGAAAACACTGATGCTCCATATGTTAAAAAGCTTGGGTTTTGCTATAGCCCCAAATCCTTTCCTCCCTACATACCTGTACATAATAATAATAATCATCATAAAAAATAAGCCCTCAAGATCAAATAGTCAGTGGTATCTTAAAAGAAAAAAAGAAGACAGGCTTAAGAAACCAAATCCTTGTAATAAATAATATATTATGAGTTAAGGAGATGAACTGACAAAGTGGTGCACCTCTAATCTCTTCCCTGCAACAGCGAGAAGAGCTGAATCACTCACACAACATTTTTCTTTAAGCATGTTCAGGGATTGCTCCTACACTCCAGTTTCTCAAAGAACATCATGCTCTACTAATTTACCAGATTGATTAAGCTACATACCAGCAGCATAGTCAATTTTAACCTGTAATTTTATGTCATAAAAATAAAACTTCTGCACATTCTCTTACTGGAATATAATTGACTGTTTCGGGGTGGGTTTAAATCAGGGATGAGAGAATCAAGCTATTTAACTGATGCAAACTCAGCTCTCTTTTGGGGGTTCAGAGGTAAGGCCCTCCCTCACAAATCTCTGATGCTCAGTGCTAAGTTGTCAAGCCCAGCAGCTGTGGCAGCCTCCTGATGGCTCCGACATCAATCTCATGTAAATTTTGTATGTGGCCCATACTCAGAGACTCACTGCAGCCCTGCAGTGCATCAAGGACCACCTCGCTCAAGATTTCCAGTTGTTAATTTATTTCAAACTTGAAATGACACCTGTCCACCTGAACAATGATTTTAAATAACAATCTATATAAGAAAAAAAATCCAGCAGGATGGCAAAGATGCCAGGCACATAAAGAAAATTAACTAGCCCATATTTCTAAGCTATAAAATCAATGTCACCTTTTTATACCTTCAGTCCCCTTGTCTAACATCACTCAACAGATTCCTACCAGTGTTGTGCAGCTGTTTTGGGCAAGACAGAGATAAAGTCCATGAGCAAGGACCTCCCATCTTGCACCAGTCCCATGCTCCTCTACCAAGGGCACATCCCTTCAGTTCTTCCTCTCTTAGCTTTGCCATCTGAGGAAAAAAGGTCTCCACAACATTCAGGACGTGAAAGCATCACGCTACAGTGCACTGGCTTTCATGGAAAAATATACACCTTCCAAGCAATAACTGTTGAACGAGGAAATGCTTTGGTGTAATACACCACACACGAATTTTATAATGAAAACTCAGGCAGCAATATAGAACAAAAGACTGCATGACATGGTGTTTATTTCTAGAATGAATGACAGTTTGGCATACTGGTGTGATAGGTGTAAGCAGAATAGAACCTCAATTTTGGTTTTAACAGCCCAGAAGCTGGACAGTTTTTTCTGTTCTTGTTGTTATGTAATTATTTCTACTGTGGTGTTAGCACATGTTCATGCCTGTGTAAGCCTGGTGTATATGTGATTGCATTAAAGACCCCTGGATCTTGACAGGTCAAGCAGTAAATGATGAGAATGTAATTTGTTAATATTAGAACTAAGTTAGAAACTACTTCTGTGATGACATCATACCTAACTATCTTTTCTATTTTGTTTTCTTAGACCAAGAAAGCATTTCAACAGAGAAAAAAAAAAAAAAAAGAAGAAGAAAGAAAATATAAAAGAAAGGAAAAGGGGAAAAGAGGGGAAAAGGGGAAAAAGAACCAAGTAAAAAGGAAAAAAAAAAAAGAAAAAGAAACAGTAATAGAGGGAGTGTTTTGTTAGCAATAAAGTATCAGATTTCAAATTCCAAATTAATTATTTTTGACATTAATTATTTAGTATTGCAGAGATTTTTGAATGACGCAATGATCATCAGAAACAACTGTGCCCACAATTATGTCTAAATGGAGTCGTTACTGGTCATCAGACCAGGAGACCACACTGACACAGCTAAAACTCATAATCCAAGTCAAACACACACAAGTAGGAGAACTAAGAAAGTGTAAGAATAGTATTAAAGGATTAAGAAAATTCTAGAAAAAAAAAAGCAGAGTCAGTGGCAAATACAAGTAATTGGTTTTGAAAGTTTGACTTTTCTTCAATAGTGTTAGAGATAATCCCAGAGAGAATTTAGAAATGAGAACATATTTTGCAAAATATTTGCTCGTAGCACAGTGCTTTTGTACTGAAAATCAACTCAAATCATTTTTGTTTGGAATAGAGTTTTTTATGTCACACAGAATTCACCTGCAGTCACCAACACTCCCAAAGCCATGTTCTTTCGTGCTAGTGGAATTGTCCCATAAAGCACATGAAGAAATAAATGATGGGGCCTGGAATGGCCTCATGTTCTGCCCTCTGCAGCCAGGATGAGCTAGCTTTTTTTCTAGTATTCACGCTTTTTCTCTTATACCACATCCCACACTTCCGTTTACACTCTCTCGTTGCTGCTCCATCTTCTTTCCCTACTAAAGTCTTTGCATCCTCCTGCCACCTCATCCTCTTTATAGCAACCCTTTTTCTCCCCATCTTTCAGTTGGCTTATTTTCTCACCATAATGAAAGTGGATGCCAAAACCACGAGCTGGTTTGGCCTTCCCAGTGCAGAGCAGTGGGAAAAGGATTCATCATCGCTACAAACGTGCACAGGTTTGCTGCTGGCAAAGGAAGGAACTGCAGCTAAAGAAGATGAAAAAAAGAAAAAAAGGGCAGGAGAGGAAAGGGGGGAAAACACAATTTTTTCAGCCCAGCTATTTGAGAGATAATTGCTGTAATTTCATCTCCCCTCAATCTTCTCACTAGGCAAGTTTACCGAGGAAGGCAGATTTCTAGTTCCTAAAAGTGCAGTAATCCACACTTTTCTAGAATGTTTTATTAGTTCAAAATTTACAGCTGACCATTTAGAAATTCTAGGACAAGACCTGAAAACTGAAAAAAAGGTCAAAGAAAGAGAAACAGAAAGATGGATAGGCAAGAAAAAAGATCAAACCAGATAGTGCTGGGGGAAAAGAAAAAAAAAAAAAACAAACAAAAAAAAACCCCAAAGATTTTCACTTTGTCTGGCACAGTGTTTTCATGTTTTTTAAATTGTTCTGTATTTTCACAGCTTCAGCTGATATTTCTGAAATATGGAATTTGCATTTTCTAGGTGGGGAAC